GCGGTTCAAACCCACCAGCCACTCCTTGGAAGGAAGATGGGGCAATCTACTTCCGTAGTGATACTGCCTTGGAAACCCAAAGAGGGGTTGCTATGAGTCGGGTCTGACTCGAGGGCACATAACAACAACAACAACAAGATACAACTATGCATCTCTCTCCGTCTGAAGCAAAGAAGAGTGAGGAAAATCAAAGACACACAGAAACCACTAATCCGAAGGATTAACGGACCATGTGAACCTCAGCTTCCTCAACCTTGAGACCAGAAGAACTAGATGGTGCCCAGCCACCATTACCAAACGCTCTGAAAGGGATCACAGCAGAGGTCCTGGATAGAATGGAAGAAAATGTGGAGCACAATTCAAAATCATTAAAAAGACCAGGCTTAGTGGTCTGACAGACACTAATGGAATCCCTGACACTATGGCCTGTAGTGACCCTTCAAGGCTACTGAATTACCCCTATAGCGCAACTTTCAGCCAAGCCATAGACAGGCCTGTATGGTGAACAGTAACACCAGAGGGGTACACACTCCTTAGAACAATCATTCACAGGAGATCTAAAGAGCCGCTTTTGCCCAGGGTAAGGCCCATAAGGCAGGATGCGACAGGAAAGAGGGATGAATGGGAACAGGAGCCAGGGAGGAAGTGGGAAGAACGCTGTTACGTTGTGGGGACTGCAGATCCCGAAACAAAATATATATGAATTGCTGAATGGAAAACCAATTTTCTCCGTCAACGTTCACTCAAATCACAATAAAATGTTAAAAATGAAAAAGGCAATAGCACCCCCGCCCATCAGACACCAGGACAAATAGAATTCATGGGTTTTTTAAGTTAGAACTGATAGAAAATAATGAAAAACCAAAGGCCAGGTACAGTTCACTCTCCCAGTCAATGCTCTTCCTTCCACCAGGCCTTGTAAAAGTAGAGGACACTGAAAATGGAAGGAGAGCGAGTCTGGGGCTCTGAATGCTCCTGACCCCCCCACCTCTGCTGGCAGAGAGACCGAATGCAGCTCCTCAGCTCGGACTCGGGTATGACGCAGCAAGCCCACGCAGGAGACGCCTCTGGGGGCTGTTCTGTCGATGAGACTTGGATCGACTTGGATCTTCCAGGCACATTTGGTGACACTAACTGGGGGAAAATGGGAAGCACTTGGGCAGCCATGAGGAGAAGCAACACAAATCTGGGTGCTGAAGAGAGGTGAGCAAATGAAACTGAAGAGAAAGCTATGGTGACTTTTCTGTTTCATGCAGAAAACGCTCAGACCTTCACTTTGTCTCCAAGGAATTGAGTTTATAACTTGGTCAAAGACAGATGGGCCTGGTTATTACTTATTTATTGTGATTGAGGTGAAAGTTTATAGAGTAAATTCATTTTCCATACAACAGTTCATACACATTTTGTTTCATGACATTGACTGCAGTTCCCCACAATATAACAGCTCTCTTCCCAATTCCTTCCCATAGTTACTTCTTCCCTGTGTCCTTCCCTCCCTTGCACTCCCACCCTCTGAGCTGTCTCCCTGTGCAAACGTGTTCTCCCATGACTGATCTCTCTAAGGAGTGTATCTACCTGATGTAAATGTTCACCCTATATGCCTGTCTGTTATTTGGCTGGAAGCCACAGGAGTGAGTTCAGTTCCAGACCAGACGGATAACTAGGGGCCACAGTCTTTGGGGTCTCACTGGGCTCTTTCAGACTAGTAAACTTGTTAGTTATTTATTTATTATGATTTTGAGTTGTGTTCCATATTGTTTTTCCACTCTATCCAGGATCTCCTGTATAGATCCCCATCTGAGGGGTTGACAGTGGTAGCCAGGCACCATCTAATTCTTCTGGTCTTATGGTCATACAGGCTGAGGATTGCATGGTCTGCTAGTTCCTTGGACTAATTGTTTCCATGCGTCTTTAGTTTTCTCCATTATTCTTTGCTCTGGACTAGGATAGACCCATTGTTGCTCTAGATGGCTGTTTGCAAGCTTTTACGATCCCAGTCACTACTCACCAAAGTAGGATGTAGAACACTACGTTTTTGTGTAGTATGTGACTGGGCCTGGGTATTGAGGAGTATTTGGTGGTACAAACAACATGTTTGCATACCAGTGAAAGGCTGGGGTTAGAGTCTGCCCAGAGGCGCCTCAGAAGAAAGGCCTGCCAATCTACTTCTTAAAAAATGGGCATCGAAAACCCTACGGAGCAGTCATGAGTCAGAGTAAACCCAACGGCAACAGGAAGGATACTCAGGGAGGTTTTCTGGAAGGCCTGTTGTGGGCCAGGGGGCCCCAGAGCCTCAGGCCCCTCAGCCTGTCCCTAGCCCTGGGCCGCGACTCCTACCTCCCCAACGGCATTGGAAAGAATGTGCACGATCTTCTCGTGGGGGGTGGCGACGACACTCTGTCCGTTGATTTCAATGATCCGATGTCCCACACGGATGCCCCCTCTCTCGGCTATTCCGCCTCGCATGAGGCTGCAGATCTACAGAACCAAAGGCCAGGTTACACATGGTGGGCAGACCCTGACCTCCAAGAACTGGTAGGGATAGAAGACTGTCTTTTCTGGAAATGCCCTCCCCCAGCATTCCCGTTTCTGAAAACCTGACATGGTTAGGCTTTGGGAATTTGAATGCCTTTTTTTTTTTTTTCTTTTCACAGAAGTGGCTCTGGAGGCCAGCGTGTGCTTCTGCTGACGCGCCTTGCCTTTGGGGTCAGGGAAGAAGGCGTATCATGGCTTCCAGGTACATTTCATCCCAGTGCTCTGCTTCTCGGCTAACTCCTACCTGCTCTCTGTGGTTGTGGAACATCTTGGTAACAAGAGCTGTCTTGGCTTGTTACAGGGCTGTCAATGTTTTCAACTTGTAAACTGTGTAACACATGTGGGGAGTAACGCTGGCTCCTCTCTCCTCAACAGGCAAACTACGCTACCGATGTCCATAAAATGGGGCTGGATGTTTCAGCTCCGACTGGGAATTTTCCAGGTATTTCTAAAACTTCAAATATACTGGGAATAAAATCTTTATTACCTAGAATCTTAACTGAAAATTAAGGGTGGGTGGGTGAGAAGAATAGGGCTCTTCTGTCTGGAAAGATGAATACAAACAATAGGGAGAGTATATCCAAAGCCTGCACAATCCAGAAGGTTACGGACAGAGAACAGATTCGCCATCAAAGCCCAGACTTCCCACAATTCCAGAACAAGGAAATCCAGGGCAGAAAGGAAGTATTTTATAAGGGAGCCAGCCAGACAACTGATCAAAACACTCTTTCTCCTTAAAGTATTAATTCAAGTTTAAAGGGCAAATCGGCTAGGTCCAGATGATGCATGAACACACCTCTAAAGCAGTGATTCTCAAACTTGGAGGCACCTGGGGAGCTTTAAAAAAAGACAGGAAAACCTGTGAAAGGCCGAACCTGTGTAAGGAGGAAACCTGTCAGAGAAGAAAAGCATTAAATTTTTTTCCACTAAAAGGAGTGACAGAAATGTGGTGAAGACTGCAACCTGAATGAAAAACATTCAAGACCCAGGAAAACAAGGCAGTCCCACTGAGCTCCCACTCTCACAGCTTTCACTGTGGGGGGCCTTTCTTTCCCACGCTCACTGCCTGTCAGATACTTTACAGGTTATCAACTTCACCCTAAACAACCGAGGGGAAGCAGGGAGAAGAAGTAAGACAACATGCCCCAAACCAAACCCAAGCCCATGGCCGTGGAGTCAATTCCGACTCACAGTGACCCCCCAGCGGGGGCTCTCTGCTCCGAGGTGTGGCCCTGGCATGGGGAGTTGCAGCGGTTCCCTGTGAAGTGTCCTGTGCGACCCTTTGTGGGTGCATCTCGAACTAGTGTTGGCAGGACAACCCTGAACCGTCACAGGCAGAAAGCTGGGCTTTGTGGGCCGTGGCTCTGGGAAGAACACTTCTCATGGAGAAGGCACCGAATTCTGTTAGAGATCCGCCCACAGAGAAAGCTGAGCCTGCCTTCAGCCACTCCTCCCCTGCCGGACTCTTTCAGAGAGCTAACTGGCTTGAACATAACAATAATAATAAAACCAGACCAAACAACGTGCTACGTTCCAATTCATCAGAGTGTTGAGGAAGAGTATGTATGTGTGCTGTACTCACAATTCCGTTCTGGACACTGAACCCCAGCTGGTAGCGCAGGTCAGGTCTCCGGATCAGCACGGTGGTTACTGGAGGACATCGCACGATATTCAGCTTGACTCGGGACTGGTTCTTTAAGCCCTTCAGAGTTAATAAAGCACAGTGAACATGGCGAGCATCGTGGCAGGTGGAATAAACAAATGCAGTCAGTACTCGAGGCAAAAGAAGCCTGGTGTTATTTCCTGGGCTCCCGGTGTAGCTGCTGTAGGTAAACCCAGCACCTGAGTCCTGGGCAATTCACTGGCAGAGGCTACTGACCCAGGAAGAAAACTGCATGGTTTAGACAGAGCCCTTTCACACCACCCAGAGATCCGTTTCCTGTGGGCAACTTCTTCACTCTGGGAAACCAGCTGTGTTCAAGGGTTTGATAAAAGTGGTCTGCCGAAGAGGAAAAGTGTCTCATGTGCTTATGGCTTGACAGACGGGTGCACAACCCTTCTCCCAGGCAGGAGAGAGGTAAGTGGGAAGTGGGCTTTTTCTCCAAAAAAGGCAAACTTGAGCAACTACCCCTCTTCTAACAAAGGGCATCTCGTTTGCAGCAACTTGCCCAGTTCACCGGAGGTGCATTTTCCCAGTATCTGATGCGCCTTCTCCTCCATTATCTCTCCCTGTTCAATGTTTTACAGCATATCAACATCTCCATCAGCAACTGAGAGGAGGAGGAAAAGGCAGGACGCCAATCACCTTATTCCTCCCAGGAAGGATGAATGGACCAACTGTGGATGAGTTGACTCCAACTCATGGCGACCTCACATGTGTCAGAGTAGAACTGTGCTCCACAGGATTTTCAACAGCTGACTTTCCGGAATTAGATCTTCCCAGGTACCTGTGAAGCCCTGTGGAGCACTGCTCCGCTCTGACACCCAGGGAATTCCCGTGAGTCAGAGTCCCCTTGATGGCCACTGGTTTTATTTTGCCTCTAGTTATCTGGCTTTATAATGTTTGGCCAGCATGTGTAGATCAGTGGTTCTCAGACCAGCAGCATCAGCATCACCCGGGCATTTATGTTATTGTTGTTGTTAGGTACCATCGAGTTGTCTCCAACTCATAGTGACCCCATGCGCAGAACGAAACACTGCCCGGTCCTGAACCAGCTCCATGATTCTTGCTGTGCTTGAGCCCATCGCCGCTGCCACCATGTCAATCCATCTCATTGAGGGCCTTCCCCTCGTTTGTCGACCCTCCACCTTGCCAAGCATGACATCCTTCTCCAGGGAATGGTCCCTTCTGACAACATGACCAAAGTAGGTGAGACAAACTCTGACCATTCTTGCCTCCAAGAAGCATTCTAGCTGTACTTCCTCCCAGACAGACCTGTTAGTTCTTTCAGCAGTCCATGGTACTTTCAGCATTCTTTGCCAACACCACAACTCAAAGCATCAATTCTTCTTTGGTCTTCCTTATTCATTGTCCAGCTCTCACATGCATATGAGGTGACTGCAAATACCATGGCTTGTGTCAGGTGCACCTTAGTCCTCAAGGAGACATCTTTTCTCTTTAGCACTTGAAAGAAGTCCTTTGCAGCCTATTTGCCCAGTGCTATTTGTCATCTGATGTCCTGACTGCTGCTTCCACTGGCGTCAACTGTAGAACCAAGCCATGTAAAGTGTTTGACAATTTCAATCTTTTCTCCATTTATCACAATGTTGCTTATATGTCCAGTTGTGAGGATTTTTGTTTTCTTTATACTGAGATGTAATCCATACTGCAGACTGTATTCTTCAATCTTCATCAGTAAGTACTTCAAGTCATCCTCACTTTCAGCAAGCAAAGTTGTGTTGTCAGCGTATTGCAGGTTGTTAATGATTCTTCCTCCAATCCTGATGCCACGTTCTTCTTCATATAGTCCAGCTTCTCGGATTATTTGCTCAGCATACAGATTGAGTAAGTATGGTCGAAGGATACAACCCCGACACACTCCCTTCTTGATTTTAAACCATGCAGTGTTCCCTTTTTCTGTTTGAACAACAGCCTCCTGGGCCTATGTACAGGTTTCTCATGAGTACAATTAAATGTTCTGGAATTCCCATTCTTCTCAATGTTGCCCACAATTTGTTATGATCCACATAATCAAATGCTTTTGCATAGTCAATGAAACACAAGTAAACATCTTTCTGGTATCTTTGCTTTGAGCCAAGATCCATCTGACATCAGCAATGATATCCCTCATTCCACATCCTCTTCTGAATCCAGCTTGCATTTCTGGAACTTCTCTGTCAATATACTGCTGCAACTGTTTTTGAATTATCTTCAGTCAGATTTTACTTGCATGCAATATTAATGATATCGTTCAATAATTTCCACATTCTGTGGGATCACCTTTCTTTGGAATGGGTACAAATACGGACCTCTTCCAGTCAGTTGGCCAGGTAGCTGTCTTCCAAATCTCTTGGCATAACCAAATGAGTGCCTCCAGTGGGGCATCCATTTGTTGAAACATTTCAATGGGTATCCCGTCAATTCCTGGAGCCTTGTTCTTCACTAATTCTTTTGGTGCAGCTTTCACTTCCTCCTTCAATACCACTGGTTCTTGAACATATGCCACCTCCTGAAATGGATGAAGGTCGACCATTTCTTTTTGGTACAGTGACTGTGTATTCCTTCCATCTTCTTCTGATGCTTTCTGCATCATTCAATATTTTGCCCATTGAATCTCTCAATATTGCAACTTGAGGCTTACATTTTTTTCCTCAGTTCTTTCAGTTTGAGAAATGCTGAGCATGTTCTTCCCTTTTGGTTTTCTAACTCCAGGTCTCTGCACATTTCATTACAGTAATTGGCTCTGTCTGCTCGAGCTGCTCTTTGCAATCTTCTATTCAGTTCTTTTATCATATGAGCAATACAAAATCTGGGCCCCACCCTAAGCTACTGAGTCAGAAACTCAGGAGTGGAGCCATCAACCTGTGTGTCAGCAAGTCTTGCAGGTGATTCTTGACATACACTCCATTTTGAGAACAGCCAGTGTAGATGCCTACTGCAGAGCAATGAATTCACCTGTATGTACCAGGCGACTTAATTCTTCCAAGGAATGATTAGGCCCAGAGATGTCAATTCACTGCTCATACCTGGGGCCACTGTGTTCCATGAGCACAGGGGCTAGTAAGGTTGGGGTGGGGGTGATGGCTGGTGGGAGGATTGGCTGGCCCCATTACCACGTAGCCTGATGCCAGTCATCCATCTCCCTGTGGGCACCATCTGTGAGCACCCTGAGATACGTCACATCAGAACTCATCCTGCTGATGAAAGCAACCTCACCACATCAATGAAAGCTACCTGTCATTTATTTACTATGGATTCTCACCTGGCACTGGTCCTGAAGATTGACAGGAACTGCCTTCTTCACTTTCCTTGACAAACTGGAAATTATAATTATCCCCATTTATAGAAGAGGAAACTGAGGCTCAGAGATACTAAGCAATTCACCAAGCTCATCCACAGCAAGATTCAATCCCTGGTCTATCAGTATTCAAAACCCATTGGTTTTTCTCCACCACAAGCCTTCATATATACAAGTGGAGAGCATGTGTCATTCATGAATAAGACCTGCTCGACACAGAAGCCAAAGAGAGCAACAGGACAACAAACCTGCACTGCAAATCTTTTACTTTGACCTTGGGCTGGGACCACATGTCCAGTTCACTTTCTTACATGCCAAGAATTCCTCAGGATCTTGTCCTCAAGTTTCTCCCTTGGCTTCTCACCCGCCTTTTGATTGATTCCAGCTGTCTTCTCAGTGCTGGAATTTTGACTGGGACTCAATTTAATGCACTCAGCTTAATTTCATTAAGGCAGCAGTGGTTCAGTGACAGAGTTCTCGCCTTCCATGCCAGGTCCAAGTGGATACTTGCATGTTTGCTATGAGGCTGAATGGTTTTCAGTGGAGCTTCCAGACTAAGACAGAGTAAGAAGAAGGGCCTGGCCCTCTACTTCCAAAACTCAGCCAATGAAAACCCTATGAGTCAAACAATCTGATTCACAGCCCATCATGGCACAGGACTGGCTGTGCATGGGGTTACCATGAGTTGGGAAGTGACTCAACAGTAGCTAACAGCAACAGCATATAAACGTGTCTCTCCAGTGTTCTGGACTGCTTGGTTTTCTGGGGTATTGGAGCCTTCAGTAGCTTCAACTGACTGCAATGGTCTCATTCCATCATGGGATATGAGTAGTGTCAGATTACTCAATAAGCAACATAAGCATGACCTTACTTGGGCTTGCTTACTAATCTGTAGTGAACAGTTTCACATGGTTTTCACCAATTTCCCAACAAGCGAAGTAAACCCTGGATGGGGGGTGCATGTCCATGCAGTGCCTGCTAACTCCTCTCAGTGGTTTTGGAACATCTCTGGGAAACTTCATTAAGGAATTGTTTTCAAGAGGAGCAATGGGTGCTCTGAGTGGGAGTCTCACTGGATAAATGAAAGGTACAAAGACTCCAGGCCTTCCACACGACAGCAGCTTCCATCATCCACATCAGCAGAGAGAGATGCTCCGGCTCTTTGCTCCTAATAGTGGGACCAGCATGGGGTGGTGACAAGGACTCTTTTGGTGTCAGAAGACCTGGGTTCAAGTTTTGTGTAGCCATCACAGCTGTGGGATCTTGGCATTCTGCTCCACCTTTTGTTCACTCAATTTTCTCATTTTCAAAGCAAACTGTGAAACTCACTAGAAAGTTCTAACGTTCTGTGATTTAATCACTTATCATATTTTTTTCTTCTAAATAGCTTGTCTGAGATCCAAATCTTGTTTTTTTTAATTGTGATTCGGGTGAAGATTTACAGAGCAAATTTACTTTCCATACAGCGGTTCACATGTACTTTGTCTCATGACATTGACCACAGTTTACCACGATGCAACAGCTCCCCTCCCACTTCCTCCCCATAGTTACCTCTTCCCTGTGTCCATCCCACCATATACTCCTGCCCCCGAGCTGTCTCCCTGTGCATAAGCAGCCCTTCTTTCTCCCATGATTGTTCTCTCCAAGGAGTGTATCTACTTGAGGTAAGTGTTCAACTCATATGCCTGTCTTTTGTTTGGCTGGAAACCACAGGTGTGGGTTCCATTCCAGACTGAGATCCAAA